TTTCATATGCTGGCTTTCCTCTTTCCTCAGGGCCTTTGCACAAACTGTTCCCTCTTCCTGGAAAGCTTTCCCTAACCCCCCAGCTTTCTCATCTTTTTAATTGACACAGTCTCAGCTCACTCAGAAGTGTCTTCAGGGTTTTCCCTCCACTTTCTGGCTAGGTCAGCTCCAGTAGCCTGTGTTGTCATAGCACCAGACGGCTCCACTTCTTACTACTTAACCACAATTGTCATATCACCGTTATTGTGCAATCAATTGTTTGTTTCCCCCATGACGACATACATACTTTCATATTCTCACCATTATCCCCTGACACTGAGCTCAGAGCCTGGCCTGGCATACAGCAGGCTCTCAGCAATATTTGCGGCATGGATTTGAAGACATACATTTAAAAGGGATGTACTGGGGCGCCTGGGTGGCTTAGTCCGTTGGGCGTCCAACTTCGGCTCAGGTCATGATCTCGTGGCCCATGGGTTCAAGCCCTGCATCAGGGTTTGTGCTGACAGCTCAGACCTGGAGCCTGCTTCGGATTCTGTGTCTCCCTCTCTTTCTGCCCCTGCCCTGCTCGTGCTCGGTCTCTCTCTCTTTCTCTCAAAAATAAATAAGCATTAAAGTTTTTTAAAAAATAAAATAAATAAATAAAAGGGATGAACTGGGAGGAAAAGCTTAACAAAATATGATAAGCCTAGAAATATATGAGCACATGTAAACAGACACATCTTTAAGGGTATGCATTTAAAAAAATTTTTTTTTAATGTTCATTTTTGAAAGAGAGAGAGTCAGAGCACGAGTCAGGGAGGGGCAGAGAGAGAGGGAGACGCAGAATCCAAAGCAGGCTCCAGGCTCTGAGCTGTCAGCACAGAGCCCGACACGGGGCTCAAACTCTGGAGCCATGAGATCGTGACCTGAACTGAAGTCAGACACTTAGCTGACTGAGTCACCAAGGCACCCCAAGGGTATTATTTGTAACTGAAAAAGCTAAAAACCTAAAATTCTATAAACACGGGAATAGCTAAATAAACTATGCTATATTCATGCTCTAAATACCCCACACTTTTGATTTAATGACATAGAAAGATGACACTTGATAGAAATAAAAATACAGCGCGGCCCCATCAGGTGTGTCTGAGTGTATGTTCGCACATGCACTTGATTTGCACGGAAACTATATGAAAGTTGATTCGAGGAAAAAAGTGGCAATCCTTGGGGAATGGGATGGGGGTGATAGGCAGGATAGATGTACCTTGTTATTTTTATAATACTCGCACATTTCATTTTATAATTACTTAATGGTAGTGAGGTGGAACTTTAGGCATCCATAGGGGAGATTTTCTTTTTGAATGAAGACTATTTCTCTGTTTAGGAAAAAAGTCTACTGTGTTTACCCCCAGGAAATATCTTCACTTGTCAAAAACTCCCACAGGATCTGGTGTTGAGGCTATTAGCTGAGTCCCCACCAATACGGAGGAAACAGCAATGTTTCAAAATCCTTTGTCTTGCTCAAGACTTCTGGGACATTGCAATATTCCATTTCCTTTCATTAAAAAGAAAATTGTCAGGAGGTTTTCTGGATTTGTTCATTCTCAAAGTAAGCACGGCATTTGGCTGGAATCCTCTGCATTTAGCACAAGGCGAGAATGACACAGCCAACCTGCTTCGAGTTACAGAACGTTTCTCATCGACTAAATTAAAGCATTACTTTTCTGAACACCAGTCACATTTCTAGATACAGTATTTAATTTAATTCGTGCTTAGTGAAATTCAGAGCACCTATTACTTTATAAAGCACTCAGGGAATCAGTATGGAGTTAGAATTAAACCAACATACCTTGAATTACATCAGGCACCCCCACTTAAAAGCAGTGAGATTCCTACAGATCTAAACTTCCTTACCTGTAAAACGGAAATGCCGTGTATCTTATGGAATTGTTTTAAGGAGAAATATAAATGTTTCTACAGTAGGGACATGCAAATCAAAGCCACAATGAGATACTACTTCACACCCATGAGGATGACTGTTGTAAAAACAAAACAAAACAAAACAAAAACCAGAAAATAACAAGTGTTGATAATGGTAGGAGAAATTGGAACACTTGTGCACTGCTGGTGGGAATCAAAAATGGAAGCTATGGAAAATAGTACGGCAGTTCCTTAAAAAGTGAAACATATAACCACTACCTGACCCAGCGATCCCACATACGCCCCAAAGCATGGAAATCAGGGGCTCAAACTGATACACCCAAGTTCATAGCAGCATCAGTCACAAAAGGAGGAAACAACATAAATATCCACTGACAGATAAATATATAAACAAAAATGTGGTACATACGTATGATGAGATATTATTCAGCCTCAAAAAGAATGATATTCTGATACATGTTACAATATGGATGAACCCAGAAAGCATTGTGCTTAGTGAAATAAAGCAGACAGGGAAAGAGAAATATATAATTCTATTCACTTGATGTACCTTGAATAGCAAATTCATAGAGACAGAAAGTGAAATAGAGGTTACCAGGGGCTGGAGGAGCTGGGATGGAGGTTAATGGAGGAAGGGGTACAGAATTTGGGGAGAGGGGCAATGCTGATGGAAAAGTTCTGGAAATAAATAGTGGTGAAGGTTGCATAGCATTGTGAAGGTAATTAATGCCATTGAATGATTTACTTAAAATCATAAAATGGTGAATTTTATGTTATATATATTTTACCACAATAACATAAATATATATTACATTATATTATATATATACGTATTATATTATAAATTACATATTATATTATATGTATTTTGACCACCTAACATGGTATATAGGGGGCTCTCAGATTTAAATTGAAACATTCATTAGGTAGTACCTTTACCAGGACCATGACCTTCCCATAGCTAAAGAAATAGGGTAGGAAGTCTATGGAGAAGAGATCAAGAGCATAGTACTAAAGAAAAGGCAAAGGCAGTCTTTACTTCAACCTTTTATTAGCCGTGGTTCTCGGCCTTTGGTGGGACACAAAGTGCAGAAGGCAGAACCTGCCCATACCTGTCCATGCGTCCAGCACTATTACATTTCTATAGATGAGATGCTGCAGAAAGGAAGGGCAGAAAATATGAATTGATTTTTCCTGTGTAGCAGGAGGATTCCCACAGAAGGCCAACTCTGCTGTCAGGCAAGTCCCGGAACCAAGCTGAAGGATGGGTGATGGCGGGGGAGAAGGTATCCTCGAAAGTCTATAGAGTTTTCAGGGCACCTCGGTGGCTTCATTAGTTGAGTGTCTGATTCACCTCAGGTCATGTTCTCGCGGTTTGTGAGTTCGAGCCCCGCATCAGGCTCTGTGCTGACAGCTCAAAGCCTGGAGCCTGCTTTAGATTCTGTGTCTCCCTCTCTCTCCCCCGCCCCCCCGCTCGTGTTCTCTCTCTCTCTCTCAAAAATAAATAATCAAACATTTTCTAAAAATTAAAAATAAATAGGGGCGCCTGGGTGGCTCAGTTGGTTGAGTGTCTGACTTCAGCTCAGGTCATGATCTCACAGTTGGTGAGTTCGAGCCCTGCACCCCCCGCTCTGTTCCGACAGCTGAGAGCCTGGAGCCTGCTTCTGACTCTGTGTCTCCTTCTCTCTCTGCCCCTCTCTGCTTGCACTCTGTCTCAAAATAAATAAACATAGAAAAAAATTAACAATAGATAAAAAATACTGTGATGTGTTTTATTTTCTGCTTCCTGATGCTGGGATCTTGCTGACTATGTGCTGACTGTCCCTCCCAGGGTCAGCCATTTCCTAGAGAGCAAACAACCCACCCGGGAGCACACTTGTCAAATACAAACCAACCAACCCAAAGTCCACACCTCAACCACCTCCTTTATTGGGGCTCTCATGCCCTGGGTCACTACCTGCCCTAATCACCCCACGGCGGGTCCCAAACAATCACAGACACCGCCTGTGTCCCTGACCTTGCTGACATGATTCAGATTCACCAGTGCTAACCCTGATAAGCCTGCTTTGCCCACATCTTCCTACGGAAACCACCGGAAAGGCTCTTGCCCACAGTTTCCCCCTCTTCCTCTGCCTTCAGACCTACCCTAGCATTTCACTATGCACCGCCCCCCGACCACGGCTTGGTGTTCCTCCTCGTCTTGAGAGCTGTAACAAACTATATCTTTTTTTTTTTTTTTAATGTTTATTTTTGAGACAGAGTGTGAGCAGAAGAGGGGCAGAGAGAGAGAGGGAGACACAGAATCTAAAGCAGGCTTCGGGCTCTGAGCTGTCAGCACAGAGCCTGATGCAGGGCTCAACCCACCACCAGAGAGATCATGACCCGAGCTGAGGTTGGCTGCCCAACAGACCAAGCCATTCAGGTGCCCCACAGACTATCTTCTCAATGGCAGTCATTTCCATATCAGTTGAGCAAACTATATGTCAAATTCTCTATTGATACACTTTCTTTTAAAACAATGGACACCACTGCTTTTTTTTTTTTTTAATGTTTTTATTTATTTCTGAGAGAGAGAGACAGCGTAAGCAAGGGAGGGTCAGAGAGAGAAGGAGACACAGAATCTGAAACAGGCTCCAGGCTCTGAGCTAGCTGTCAGCACAGAGCCCGATGCGGGGCTCGAACCCATGAACCATGAGATCATGACCTGAACTGAAGTCGGACGCTCAACTGACTGAGCCACCCAGGCGCCCCGACATCACTGCTTTTTAAAAAAATTTTTTAAATGGCAAGAACAGTAACATCTGTTGAAATAAAGCAAAGAGGCTAACATCTATTAAGTCTGACTGTTTTCGGCCCTCAAATAAGGAACCTCAGTTTCCTGTGTCACTGAGTAAGTGGTATAGGCGGAAACTGAATTTGAGTTTGAACTTGGAGAAAGCAGGATTAGGGGAGGAGGAGAAACAGAAATTCCTCAAACAGAGATTAGGACTCTGTGATGTCACAGAGGCCAAGAAGAGAGGCTGCTGAAGGGGACTGGCCAAGTGGTAATTTCCTTTCCTTAGGACATTAAGGAAAAAAATGTTTGGGGCGCCTGGTTGATTCAGGCTATAGAGCATGGGACCCCTGATCTCCCAGTGGTGAGTTTGAGCCCCACGTTGGATGTACAAATGACTTTTTAAAAAATGTTTGAGGACACCTGGGTGGCTTAGTCGGTTAAGCTTCCAACTACAACTCAGGATATGATTTTATCGTTCATGAGTTCGAGCCCTGCATCTGTGCTGACAGCAGAGAGCCCGCTTTGGATCCTCTGTCCCTCTTTGTCTCTTCCCCTCCCCAGCTTGTGCTCTCTCTCTGTGTTTCTCTCAAAATAAGTGAACTTAAAAAATGTTTGTTAATGGGGCGCCTGGGTGGCTTAGTTGGTTAAGCGTCTGACTTTCGCTTAGGTCATGATCTCGCGGTTCATGTGTTCGAGCCCGGCGTCGGGCTCTGTGCTGACTGCCAGCTCAGAGCCTGGAGCCTATTTGAGAGTCTGTATCTCCCTCTCTCTCTGACCCTCCCCTGCTCACGCTCTCTCTCTCTCTCCTAGAAATAAATAAAAATATTTTTAAAAAAATGTTTGTTAGTGTCCTCTGGTGATGGTTAAAAGTTGAGTACAGATTTTATCTTGTTGTAAGGTATGTGTTTTACTTTGGATCTAAAAAATATAAGGGCTTCATCGAGTCACAAATTAGCTGTGACGGAGGAAGAGGAGTGTTGAACCTTGAGACTGGTAAGTTAATAAAACACCTGCTGGTACTGAGCTAACAGACCTGCAAGTGGCTACTGTATCTCTGGCCCAAGGTCATTCCCATCAGTCTGTACCAAGTGCTACACACAGATGTGTTGGGCATAGAGAATGGTAACTTTGGAGTTTTCAGACTGATGTTTTGCACACACAAAGGAGGCAAATGCAGATCTGGTTGCTGTTTTTTTTCAATATGCTCTATGAAGGTCATTTCAAAATAGAAGACATTCAAGACATCTCATTTCTGGGATATTACTGAATTTCTTGCCTCGATAAAGTCCAGTTTCAGCTTTATGGCTCATGCCACTACCAGGGGCCCCAAATTGTACGAAATACGGAGCGGGACAGTGGTGCAGTCCCTTGAGTCATGTACTTGAAGAACCACGTGTGTTTTAGGCTGGGTTTATACCGCCCAGTTAATGTGCCCATTAGAGGAAGCAGCTAATGCTAGAATCCGCTAAATGGGCCTCCACCTGACAATACCAGCAAACATTTGACACCGGACAGTGTGATCAATAACAGGTGTGACAGACACCCTCAATATGTCCCCTCAGTGTCGGTCCCACCCTCTTTGCCAATAAACCAAAGGAGAGAGGGGGGGTTGATAAGCGCCCGCACTCATTAGCCCCCTTCCCTTCTCTCTTGCAGGTATGGTTGGCCATGTCACACAGTTCAGGACCGAGATGGGTGAGCAGAAATCCACTACAGAGACAGAACGGGGGCAGAGAAAGGCAGCAAATCCAGCCTCCACCTTACACCCCCCCCCGCCCCCCCCTGCACAGGGCGATACGTCTGCAGCCCAGCAGCTATCACAAAACCAGGTGATGGACAAATTTGAGCATGAAAGCCAGCTTGCTAGGATTGATGGGGCCAAAAATAGAAAGCTCTTGGGTCCCTGCTGGCATCGATGAGTAGCTGTCCCAAAGCCATTCCTCCCCCAACATTTTATTAGGAAAAATTTTAAGCATACAGGGAAGTTGACGGAATTACACAAGGGAACACCCTCCCCTGTCCTCATTTTAGTATATTTGCTTCATTGCGTGTGTCCATCACGTGTCCTTCTAACCATCCCTCAATCCGTCTCGTCTAAACGCATTTCTGAGAACACACCCCCTTCTGCATTTTAGTGTGCTTTATTAAGTAGGCTATTTGTTTAGAATCCTTTTTTATTATTTGTTCACTTATTTTTAATGTTTATTTATTTTTGAGACAGAGAGAGACAGCGTGTGAGCAGGGGAGGGGCAGAGAGAGACAGAGCAGAATTCGAAGCAGGCTCTAGTCTCTGAGCTGTCAGCACAGATCCTGATGTGGAGCTAGAACTCACGAACTGTGAGATCATGACCTGAGCCAAAGTCAGACACTTAGCTGACTGAGACACCCAGGTGCCCCTAGAATCCTTTTTTAATGGAATGTTTTATTGAGAGAATTACAGATTCATATACAGTTACAAGAAATAGCACAGAGAGGGGAGTCTCACTGTGTCAGTCAGTAGAGTATGTGACCCTTAATCTCAGGGTGATGAGTTCAAGCCCCACATTGGGCATGGAGCCTCCTTAAAAAAATAAAAATAGGGGCCCCTGGGTGGCTCAGTCAGTTAAACAGCTAAGCGTCCAACTGTTGCTTTTGGCTCAGGTCATGATCTCATGATTCATGAGTTTGAATCCTGTGTCATGCTCTGTGCTAACAGCTCAGAACCTGCAGCTGCTTTGGGTTCTCTGTCTCCCTCTCGCTCTGCTCCTCCTTTGCTCACATTCTGTCTGTCTGTCTGTCTCTCTCTCTCAAAAATAAATAAATATTTTAAAATTTTTAAAAATTTAATAATTAAAAAAAATAAGGGGACCTGAATAGCTTAGTCAGTTAAGTGTCCAACTCTTGATTTAGGTTCAGGTCATGATCTCACGGCTCGAGCCCCAGGTCAGGCTCTGCATTGACAGTATGGAGCCTGCTTGGGATTCTCTCTCTCTCTCCCTCTCTCTCTCTCTCTCTCTCTCTCCCTCTCTCTCTCTCTCTCTCTCTCTCTCCCTCTTTCTCTCTCTCTCTCTCTCTTTATCCCTCTGCCCCGCCCCAACTCATGTTCTCTGTCTCTCTCAAGATAAACAAATAAATAGAAAAAAATCTCTTTAAAAATTAAAAAAAAGTAACTTTTAGCTCTCTGGAGGGCATATAATGATATCTTATTGTGATGATTTGAACTTGCATTTCCCTGATGATTCATGGTGCTGAGTACTTCTTCTTGTGCTTATTGGCCATTTGGGTATCTTTTTTTGTCAAGATGGTGGAACCACAAGCTGGGGACAGCCAGAAGCCCTCAGTCCCTGCTTGGAGGAGAATGATCTGAGCGGCAGAAGCTCTGGGTGAATGAGAAATAACCCTCTGTTTTGTGACTCCACTGAGATGCCCTCCCATTTGCTTCGAGTGAAATTATACATTAAATTATACCTCAGTACACTTCATAAAAAAGAAAAAGAAAATGAATGGTGGAGGAGGAGTTGATCCTAAGAAGATCAGAACCCAAAGGGATATTGAGCTGCCCTTGGACCTCCAAGCATGACCCACGCAGGAAGTGGGCTCTGCGCCTTGACCTCTGGTGGTGGGACTGAGTCCTATACCGAATATGCGTAATACTAACTAAACTGTGCTTCTCCCTAGATGTCGTCGGGCTCGAAGGGAAAAATTAAACTAGAACAAGGCAGATGGGATGGAATTACCTAATATTGTCAAAGACCCCAGCTCACACGCTGTTAAACCAGGAACCCAGGTCTCAGGCTTCAAGGTCAGCTTCAAAGCAGCTCTCCTCCCGTGGCCTGGCAGCTGTCCGCGAAACTACACGGAGCCCTCCAGAAACTGTTATGCACAGGTATTCCTGAACCCTGTGAACTGTCCTTGGTTGAACCTTTCTCCACTCTGCCGGGCCTGCTAAGCTCTGTTTGAAAAGCTTGCAATTTAAAGAAGTGAAGAACCAGCAAATATATAGGGTTGAAAATGAAAAACCTTTTCTCCAGGGCTACACCAAGTCCTGGGGTTAAGACTTGTTAGTGCTGTCCTTTTAAATAGATAAAAGACATTTCAATCTCTTGCCATGAAAAACTCCGGGCACTCCCCGCGCCCCCCCCCCCTCACTTCAGCTCTCCTACCCTGCTCCCCCCTACCCCAAAACCCTGTAATTAAAAAGACTCTTTTCAGACTGGAATACAATTCAAGCACAATCATTATGAAAATGCTGCCCTGTTTCTGTGGTTACTGACAACTCCCTTTGTGTAAATCTCATTAAATCAAATGGAGGACTCCCAATTTTGTCTTTTTGGGTTTTTTGGGGACAATTCCTGGGAAGAAAAAGCTATGTTGATTTTAGAAATAATGTTGCCAATCTCAGGTATGAGACCTCTTTGGATTAGAAAATAGTGTTATTTCTCTCTCTGAAACCACTGACAAATGGAGCGTGAAAAATTGACAAAGGGTTTCGTGGCCCCACGTGCTTTTTCTACCACGTTTCTCTTTCCCGTAGAAAGCGCCTTTCTCTGACAAGCTAGCTTATGTTTATGCCTGTGAGGAGACAACTAAAATTACTGAAAATATGGCTTTAGAAACCATGTTTCATTCATTTTCATCCTGTACATTTTGGGTGCTTAGGAGAAATTTGCCTCTCGCTTGAAAAGAATGATTCTTATTTATTCAAGCTGTGAGCGACAGTGGGTTTTCCTGATACTCTGAAAAGCTTGAAGAGTAAAATGGTTGTCATATAAAATTAAAGACAGCAGTGGAATTTCCCTAGATCTTAGAGTGTAGCACGCGATATATAAAACTTAAAATTCCAATCTGTGCCTAGCAGCTGTATTAGCCAGCCACCATTATCCGTTTTTCCCCTTGATTTTGTTCTTTCTACTCCCATTCTAGAATTTCCGAAGTCTTTCACCGTCAAAATATTCCTCTTTCCCAGTGTCTTTTTCCAGCAAAAGATGGAAATGGCGTAGACCCTTTCTTACCATCAAATGCACAAATAGACTCTATTGGGCCCTATTCTGGGCACTACCAGTAAAAAACGAGAATACCACTGACCCTGTGTACTGCTCCCCCGGGGGGCTATGTTTGCAAATGCCTTTCCTTGCATGAATTAGGGCTCTTCTGTGTCAGTGTGCCAGGTCCTAGTGACTGGAAACAGGTTCCTTGGGGACTTCATTTAAAGGATTAACTTCCACTGACTCATTGGTCTTATAGGGATCTTCCTCATGGTCTACCTGGCGAAATTCACGCTTAACTTAGTACTTGGTTGTTGTGATCAATGACTGAGGTCAGGTTAGGAGAGACAGATGCCCCAGATAAGGATAAAAGATCATGAGTGTGACTATTCAGGTTCACAGCTGGAATAGAAACTCTGAATGCCACGCAGGCCTGATTTGCCTCCCCTCTCTTTATCTCCAGGTTCCCCCGACCCCGTTTCTGCTGCCCCATGCTAGTGTATGCCTTGTAAGTCCACTGTGTTTATTTCATTCTGTGTGTTACGTTTGTTTTTTTTTCAAGTTTATTTTTATTTATTTTCAGAGAGAGATAAAGAGTGAGCCAGGGAGGGGCAGATAAGGAGGGAGAGACAGAATCCCAAGCAGGCTCCACGCTGTCAGTGCAGAGCCCGATGCAGGGCTTGAAATCACGAACCACGAGATCATGACCTGAGCCCAAGTCAAGAGTCAGATGCTTAACTGACTGAGCCACCCAGGCGCCCCTCATTCTGTGTGTTCTTAGGGAGTGTGGTTTCCTACGCTGGATTGGAAGGGGTCGCTCTTTGGGGTGGCCCTCCAGCTCAGGCATACTGCTCTGCCAGGGGACGCCCACTTATAAATGTGAAGAGAGCCTCTCTTTATCCATTCCAGGGAATATCAAGGAAGTATTGATGCCTGAGAATCTAGAGCTGTGGGGCCTCGGTCAGACATACTTTACAGAACAAAGATAACCTTCTGTACAACAATCTAAAAAGACAGAGATAAAGAAAGCTTTAGATCAGAACCAGAAATATCTTTACCCTGAATGAGATTGTGAAGACCTAGGAAAACCTTAGGAGGTTTACCAGTGGAGAAAAAGACTATCAGACAAAGGAAGGGGGGGGGGAGGAGAGGGCAAAAGGGAAGAGGATTACAGAGGCACACCCTCTTGTGAGATTACATAGTGATTAGCATGGTGAAAATGAATATTTATGAGGCCGGCGTTGATTATACTGTATTACGGGGGATCATTTGAATAATCATGAATATGTTTCCATGCATTTGGACCTAATGTGATGGTTTTCAGTCTTTAATGAGGCAGTGGCGCGTGTTTGAAGAGCCTGGGAGAGGGGAGTGAGAGCAGAAAAAAGGGAATGAACAATACAGGTCACCAGGTTGCAACACAGATTTTTCTCACTGTATTGCTCTCTTATCATCGCAGTCCTGTCTGTATAGAGCTGAGGGGAAAATAGCTAAAAATCACGAATTGGGGGCCCATCGGCGTGTAGGCTAAAAGGCTAAGTGATTTTTCCGAGGTGGCACAGCTATATAATGCCTGAACCAAGACTTCAGATACATCTTTCCAGAGTCACTTCCAAGTGCACAGGGTCAGTAGACAACCACGTCTCAGGCTACACCTACTATCCCCCCACCATTATTAGGGATTATCCCTTTCATTGGCAAAAGTGTAAGGGTTGGGATGTCAAATGGTTTGAGGAAAGCACCCATTTATTTATTCTACCTACAGGCTCTGGCGGGATGCCAGGCGTCCAGAAATGCTGGTGGTTGTTTTGAAAGCAGAGATCACAGGAGAGCAGGTGGAGGAAGGCAGGGAAAAGCATCAGATGGGAGCATTTCTATGTTCTTGTGACTTGTTTGGGTGGCAGGGAGGTGCTGTGGTCCAAGGAGGGTTGAGGAAGTATAGACGGTTCAATATGAATGTATTCAGATGGATTTGCTTCTCAGGGAAGGCATGCATGAAACTAGTCCGGCATAAGGCAGAGGCATAAACAAGAATGCCAGCTTAGTTATTTTCTACGCAGAGAAACCCAGCACTCCTTGGTCCGGGCACGCTCTCGTGGGCGGTGTGCGCCAAGGACAGGCCAAGTGATCTTGTACCCTGCAGCCAGGCGAGCCTGGATCCAAACCCCAGCTCTTTCCTGGTATCCGCAGTTTGACCTTGGCCAAGTCCTCTAGCTCTCCCAGGCCTGGGTTCTTGGCCGGAAGCTGGGCTGTGTGGGGCCAAAATGCAACCAGCAGTGTACTCAAGGTGCCCAGCACAGGATGCAGACCGAACACATGGGAGCTATTATTAGCCTCTGCCTGCAGGCGGAAGCCGAATTGCAAGCGGGTTGCTGGAACTTGACGGGGGGAGGTAAGCTGGTGATTCAGCGGCTGGCGCATCCTTTGGAGCCCGGCTCCACCAGCAACATGAGCTGGCGCCTTCAGCCGGGGAAGGTTCTGGGTGGGCGCTGTCAAAGAAGGATAGTGACTAGAGTTAATTTTCCCAAAGTTCTAAGCTCACCAACCCCCTTCGTGTGATTGACACATTCTTTCTTTAGATATGCTAATACCTTCAATTAGATTACAGTCCGTCTTGCCTTGGCAGGTTTTGTCTTTTAATAGGACTTTGTCTATTTCAGGACTTTCATACAAGAGATTTTTTTTTTAACAGTTCACCTCTAAGGAGGCAAACTTTGAACCTTATTTCTGTGTTCTGTTGGGGGTAGCCCAGGCTGGAGACCTCCAAGGCCTTTAGGGCCTCTAGGTATCCATTAAACGAAGCTATGTTTGAGTGTCTAGTGGTACCTAGAGCAATTTCTTTTTAAACAAGAAACGACCTCCGCTTTCCTAATCTATAAACTGGATTGTCCAATGAGTTGTTAGGAAGTTTAAATGAAGAAATCCTTAAAGAAGGGCTACATGAGAACATCCCGGATACCACAGAGCTTGGTCAATTTGTTGAATGAATAGTGATGATGGCTACTCCTGCCAAGCGCCAGGCACTTTGCTGCCCTTTGGGAATTTAACGGTGAATCAGACACAGGGTGCTGCCTTAACCGAGCCTTCGGTCCACAGGTGGGAGGCAAATAAGCGACCCTTCTTCTGTGGAATAAAGGCATCGATGGGGGAGATAGGGGTGTTATTGGAGCTCCTAGCTGGAGGACCCAAGTCGGTGACGAGGTCTCTGAGGTTCCCCAGAGGAAACGGCCTCCAAGCTATGACATGAACAGTAAGAGGCCACCAGAGGTGGAGAAGTCTAGTGCCCTGGTGCAGAGCTCTCAAGGCAAGAAAGACTTTCTTCAACAGAGAGACCATGAGGAACCACGGGAGTGTTCCTCGCCAGAGGATGTGGGTGTAAGAAGAGACTGCAGAAGCAAGCAAGGGTTCGACCACATAAAGGAGTTGGATTTTTTCCAGAGACATGGGTGTTAGGAGACAGGGTTCCACAGGCTTAACAAAATTAGAGCACGGAGGGAAGGCTAAAGGAGGGCTTTGGATGACTCAGGACTTTCAAGCTTGGACTCCATGTTGAGCAGTGGTCAACAGAACATGGCGCCAGTCCACCTGAGATTGAGTGCTGACTCCATTGTTGAAGGCTGTGTGTTCAAGAAAGCCTCATGTGTAAACTGAGATAATCCCAGGACTCAACTCAGAGGTTCGTGTGAGAGAATGTGTGTTAACTGAGATAATACAGACTGAGCAAAGTGCTCTGACAGGACCTGGCATAGAGTAAGTGCTCCCTAAGTTGGGTATAGACTTTGCCACCACTCACACAGCAAGAAGTCGGCTAAGTCAGCTGCAAAGGCGGCTCTCTAAAACACACCTGAGGAATGGGGAGGGGAGGGGATGCTTACAAATTTCCAGAAGATGGAAACTCCAGGAACGTGGGACTCCCTCTTCCAGGTGAGTTTTGCTGCCTTTACAAACTTGGTTACTTGGTCTCCATAGCTGATTAGAAAAGGAGTCCCCTAGGAAAGGCAGACGGGACTCCTGGGAGCTCAAGGAAAATTCAGGAAGTACTAGGAGACACAGATACAAGAACCACAGAGGCGTAGCAAACTGGCAAACCGTGGCTCAGAGCGTTGAGAGCACA